TCTGTTGTATAGTTATAACACCAGGTAAGTTTAAATAGTTGAATATTTAGGTCATAGTAAAAGGTAATATACGTGTAATATCTGACTTACGTTGATTTGTACCATTTCACACTGTATGTAAAGACAACTTCAAATGGTGTTGGTACATCATCAATATTTACTGGACTTACTTCTTTGGTTGTCACGTTGGCAAATATAATCTGAAATGATGGAATTGATGATTAACAGTGTTTAATTTAAGTGGTATAACATCACAGTTTGCGAGTCAAAATAACCTCTTTCAATGATTCAATATTTACTATGATTAGCCCAATTTAAAATTTATCATGAAGATCTGTGAATCAAATCAAACTGTATATTTTTTGTGAAGATTTTCTGCCAAATCAGAAATATAAGAAAGCTCTATAACATTAGGAACTAACATCATTGGTAACATCTTTTTGAAGGTTTACTACTGGTATATTTGGAATTACTACCATGATTTCCATGCTGATGTTACTTCTCCTTGGAGGAGTACACTGCTATACAACTTTTACTCTTGATTTTGCCGTTTTTTGGACGATATTTTGATTAACGGAATTGTCTTGCTTGTACAGATTTCCATCCCATAAAATAATATTGTTTACTTACATGGTTGTCATTATATTCTATATTAAAATGGAGGTGAGCCCAGAGATATATTTTGTGACTATGAGGTATGATTCCACTCTCCTCTAAATGACCAATAAAACCTCTGATTGGAACATCATCTAAAACAGATTAATATCTAATATTAACATTTCTACTATCACACCCTTCAATATACCAGTTATACAAACTGGTGTTTATTATTACATAAACTGTATTCTATTACAACATTGTCTAAAACACAACAATGAGGCAACCTAATTGTATTAATAAAAGTATCTGAATATAAATATAAGAATTAATCGTTGGTCTCACTAGCCAAATTGGTGTGTAAAAGCTACAAACATACATAGCGTATTAGCCTACTCTTTTTCGATTTCCAACTGTCGAGGGATCTTTAACGTGCACAGCCTGTAGCACACGAGGCCTCGGTTTAATGTCCCATCTGAACGACTAGACGCTTTTTCCATGTCAGAAAAGGTATTATCTCAACCTATGCTAGGATTGAACCCTGGACCTTCAGGCTAGCGAGCAAGCATGTAACTCACTGACAGGTGGAAACCAGGTTGAAAAATCTGAAGGTATCATCTCAACCTATGCTGGGATTGAACCCTGGACCTTCAGGTTAGCGAGCAAGCATCTAACTGACTGAGCCACCGTGGCTCCTATATCTGAACTACAAGTAAATATAAACAAACCTACCTAGAACAAATTCAAAATAATACAAATCTTCAATAGCATTCTTTAATAAAGTTAAATCACTTTCTGAATACTTCACACTACATAGTTCTTTTTTATCTTCTTCTTCTGTACATTGAAAGATAAAGTGAATGAAAGATCGATTAAATGAATGAATGAAGGAATGAATGAATGAATGAATGAATGAATGAATGAATGAATGAATGAATGAATGAATGAATGAATGAATGAATGAATGAATGAATGAATGAATGAATGAATGAATGAATGAATGAATGAATGAATGAATGAAGGAAGGAATAACCATTCCTAAAGATCGGTGCTTGGTTAATCTAAAGATTTATTCCAAGGTCGTATAGTGGTACTGTAGACATTCTTCTCAACCAATCACAGCACGTCATGTAGAATCTGAGTCTAAATATTGACTATGAATTGTGGGATAGAGAAACCTAAAGTAGAGTGATATGATATGACCAATGAGATTATAAGACTGTTAATACTCACATGTAACAGTGGTTCTGATTGGCTAGAGAGTGACATGTGATTATCTGCTATAAATAGCCTGTCACCAGTACACAACCTTGGTATAAATCTTGTTAAATTACAATGGAGATCAAATCATGTTTATTGTTTGATTAAATGATGTTTATAATGAATTAAGTACTCTAGAGTTTAAAGATTGTATGTGGAAGTAGAAAAGCTTGGGAAATAAGAGGGAGTAAAACCTGAGTGAAACCAGTTAGAAATAGATTGCTTGTTGACTTACTTTTATATTTAATACTGTAGAGAGATTCAGCCATTCTGTCACCATCTAAAACTTCTCCCAGCGTCAGACTCTTGTGTTTTATCTGTATATTTATCAGAATAATATAATATATAATACACCTACTAGCATTATTGTTTTTATATAAATACATCTGGTTCATGAGTCACATTGAACTATCTTGATATGTGGAGTATAATTTTATAACTATTTATGGTTAATCGTTGAATAAAGTTTTCGAGTGAAATACATTTCAAAATGACTGATTTATTTTGGGGAAGAATAATCTCCCTGGGGTATACCAAACTACGTATAGTTTTTACATTGAAATAACAGTCTTCACAACCATTTTCAATCAATACTTCGAGTTAATAAGTAGAATTTTTAAAAACGTTATAATATTTCAACACTTAAAGCCATTTCTAAATCTTTAAATATAAATTGAAGGCTTGGTTGAAATATTATGATACAACAGTAAGTTTGGTATGTTGACTAGTGGATGAGAGGTACTGCTGTATATGTTGAGATAGAATGAATAGTATAACTTACCGACTGTGGCCGACAAACTGGGAGTTGATAATAATGGTAGGTCTCATGAGGATTGAAATATGGTCCCACTTTATTTACATATAATATCACCTGAAATTAGAAATATAACAAAAATACTGCATATTACCTACCATACTTCTACCATACTTTTACCACACTTCAAAATTTCAAGGGTTGTTTTGGGTCTTGAATATAATGTAGTAAATAGCAAATTGTAAAATGAGCAGAATTCCAATGAGTGACCGATCAAGAAAGGTCAAAAAGTCTTTTTTTTGGTTTAACCAGACTGTACATACACAGACATTTATGATTGGTTAAAACCTTTGATTATATGCAATAAGAACATAATGATATGATTAAGAATATATGATAATTCATTAGAATCACAAATTATCAAATAGTTTGCTTCATTTGACAATAAAAATAAGGAAACCCATCTTTAAACTTTTTTTGGTGTTTTTTTTTTATCATTTGCTGATATCTATGACATACGATTGAGAATTGATTTTTAGCATCATTTGAATTTCAACAACCGATAATCAACTGTCAACAACAATCAGAACATCACAAAATATTTATAACTTGTAATTATTTTGTTACAAATAGAAGTAGGCCTATTGTTTTTTGATCAATGAAGCATGAGTTTTAGTCAATATATATATATAATAAACTATATCCAAGCTGTTCTACTCTACCTCCCCTGAAATCTCGTCTGCTATCCACTTTAATACCTTAGTCAGCACAAATCAATGACTATGATACTATTTATAGTAACAATCATGTCCCCCCTGGTTTCTGTGAATAATCGAAGTCCATGAGAAATTTAATAAAAGATGAGAGAAATTAACTGCCTGTCGTTGTTTTAGTCACGTAATCTTATAAAGAGTTAAGTTTTGTTTATTATTAGAAACTATTATCAATGGCAAAACACTGATTTACAAAAATTTCATTTCATTTTGCTGATGTGATGCTGTTTATTTATTCTCTGTATTAAAATGATAGATTCAGTATTTTTGGTTGTGACCCAAACCTTCATCTCTGTATCAGGAATATTTTACTTATTCTAATCAGTTATAGTATTCACAGCTTTCAGCTAAACTTTGTAAGACACAGTGATACAAGATGATTGAACCTACTGTACATAGGCCTACAAATACCCTAGTAGAAAAACCTTGTCACTTATAAATCTGGATACACAGGACTATGAAAGCTTAAGGCTTCACCAGTAGACTCAATCTATTTGTACCACTTTGTCTTTCTACGCACAGCTGCGACAGAAGAAGTCAGAGGCCATAAAACAACAAGCCAAAAAACTTTCTTATTTTCTTTAATATAAGTATTTATGAAGTTTCTGCAAAATAATTCTTATATCCATAAATTATAAACAGAAAATATATTCTGTTAGTAGTGAACTGGATTAAAATGAAATCTTATTGATTTACTATTTGTTTTGATGTTTAGTTATATTACAGGACAAGCCGATAAGAATATTGATATACATGTGTTGTAAACTAATTAAAAGAAGAATTATGTAACAGAGAGTATACTTAAGTAAAAGTTTATTTCCTATATCTATATGTAAGAGATCTAATAACTAAATTAATACAAATACACGACCATTTTTGGTTCACAAATGATAATTATATATGAGCTATTTTTTATAAGAATATTGTATATTATAAGATATATGGGTGTGATTTTTGAAGTTTAGTTTTATGTATGTAATATTTTGTTAGAATGATAACAAGGTTAATATAATGCCACAGCGGTTTTGAAATATTTGTATCATTTTCTAAAATTCCAAAAGTTTTTACAAAAGTTGTTTAACTAATCGAAATATTTTGATCAAGAAATTGCTTGGTCAGAGAGTTCCATAAAATTTGTCATTTATTACAAAAAAGAAAGATAAGCTTATGTTGTATGGATTCAATACACTCGGAGCAGAAATCACACAGCCTACTGGTACTGCTCTCTTTGCCAATTTTTTACAGGGACCCAAGGTGGCTCAGTGAGTTGGCTCAGTGAGTTAGACGCTTGCTCGCTAACCTAAAGGTCCAGGGTTCAATCCGGTCATAGGTCGAGATAATACCTTCGGATTTTTCAACCCGGTTTCCCCCTGTCAGTGATGTAGGTAAGAGGGGTTGACATGGAAAAAGTGTCTAGTCGTTCGGATGGGACAATAAACCGAGGCCCCTTGTGCTACAGGCTGTGCACATTGAAGATCCCTCGACAGTTGGAAATAAAAAAAGAGCAAGCTAATGCCGCTGTCCTGGAAAAATTTCCCTCATTGCACCCTGCATGGCGTTGCCCGTCTTCATTAGCCAACATGGTGCAGAAAAGTAGGACATAAAACTCCATTCATTGCATTATCGTATCGACTTTCGGATACCCCAAATATCAGATAGAAGATAAACTTGTGAACAAAATAAATTAGAATTGAAATATCTTTTTGAAGGGATAATACTATTGTAGACTAGCCTGTATAGGTCTACTATATTCAAGCCATTAATCAAGCCCTGAAAATAGTCAATCTTTCCCTTATAAAGACAAATTTGACAATGCATTTCACAATCCTTTTGTGAATTTTTTCAGAATTGATCGTAAAAATTCAATTAAGAATATCACTGTGGTGGAAGAGTGGAGTCGTGACTCGTGGACAGCTCAGTTTTAGACCCAATTGATGCTTGACTGCAGTCGGAGTCAGTAGTTTTCTCAATGTTGATAATATAAAATTTGTTCGTTCTCGAATTGTAGCCTACAATTCCCTCGTTTAAAATGGTTTTCAAAGAAAAATAATAAGCATTTGGAAAATGCAGACGTACCTCATCATCATCTTTATATGTGGTTGAATTAACCAAGTTGAAACAGATCACTGTCAAAATTACCTGCCAGGCGGCCTCCATGTTTGTGTACACGTTTAACAGCGAGATTTAACGAGAATATACGAGATTAATAAATAGTCTGGTCTTCCAGCATCATTTTGACAAGTTAGTCTGGTTAATCCGGCCATATTTTTAATATTATGATAAAGTGTTAAAAATGAAATTAACTGAATGGAGTTTTATGCCCTACTTTTCTGCACCATGTGGGCTAATGAAGACTAATAACACGATTTTTTAACGTGCTCAGCCTGTAGCACACGGGGCCTCGGTTTATTGTCCCTTCCGAACGACGCTTTTTCATATCAGCCTCTCTTACCTACATCACTGACAGGGGAAAACCTGGTTGAAAAATCTTCAACTAACACCATTGCCCTTTCCTCTGAATATATTACTTACCCCTCCGAACAATCAAGTCGGGCTCCGTCATCTGATGATTACTGGTGATATATAAATATGGACAATGACAGAATTCTATTCTTGGATACATTCACTTGATTGTTGTTGATTTGAGTCTTGAATATATGAAAATAGTCTTCAGAAGTACTAGATATGTACAAAAAAGTCACATAATTCCTTTAAAAATATCTCAAACTAGAAATTTATTTTTCTATTTCTACAGATGTCTTTTCTTTATATGACAATGTCTCAAGAAAAGACGACTCGTCTTTTTAACTTTCTATAACGAAATTTCCACAGTGAGTTGTGAACACTATTATTAATTAGATTAGCTAAAAGAAATCTGGTTTTTAAGACTAAGGTATGATTGGTGCTAGAAATGGTACACCTATCCTAAAGATCTTCAGTCTGTATGATATTTCGCTAATCTATATATTGCTGGTTGCTTAGTTTGATTATAATTCAATACTTTGGTACATTTTTATACGTCCACATATATTGGTGTCATCCATGCCCGTCCGTCCGTCCACAATTGCCCGTAAACACTCTAGAAGGCACAATTCTTGACTGATTTGGACGAAATTTGTTGTGAGTGTATGTTATGCAGACAGAGCCTCCGAAGTATATGCATCTAAACCATGGAATAATTTCCCGCCAAAAATAAGATCGCCATGTACATACGACTTTTAAAAATTGTATTAATTAAGATGAATAATTAATTATAGGAGAAATTGAATGGATAATCCCTATTGAAAATCAGAAAAATCGATAAATATTTCGTATGAGTTATTGCCCTTATTCTTGAGAAATTTTGTTTTCTAAACACTAAAAGGCCCAATTCTTGACAGATTCTTCAGTATCGCCTCAAAAAGTTCAAAAGAAGTGTATGTCTGAAGGTTGAATATTTCATACTGGTGATTGTTACTTGTAGTGTTATCTAAAATCAAAGCTGTCAGTGGGCGTACATTACCTTGCCTGGCAAGCTATCTTTTCCAAAAAAAATTAGGGGGGTGGGGGTTCGTGGACTTGGTTTAACCCGTTTCTATGGTAATTGAGCCACTAGTATAATAAAAAGAATACTGAACGAATATTTATTATATTTATTAGCAGGATAGAGTCCAGTCGCAGGATTTGATCTCGTCGTTAAAACCAAGGCCAGCAGGACAGGTCATAATATTAGACCGATATCCATAATCCACAGCAATACAAACATAGAACTGTCTGCAATTCACTGGATCTGCATGGGAACCGGCACCAACGTTGTTACAATCAAACCCACCACCATAATCGTTGCCATAGTTATTTCCCGCATTGCCACCATAATCGTTACCATTTCCCGCATTGCCACCATAGTCGTTGCCATAGTTACTTCCTGCATTGCCACCATAATCGTTGCCATAGTTATTGTTGCCACTCTCATCGGCTACATTGTTGATTCCATTATAATCGTAAAACCCACTATTTCCTCCGTTACCATTGTTACCATTGTTACCATTGTTACCATTGTTACCACGGTTACCATTGTTACCATTGTCTGCAATATTAGAGGTACAGTATTGTTAGAACTTTATATATAAAAAATACAATGATTTTATAAATAAAAAATACAATGATTTTATAAACAAAAATACAATGATTTTATAAATAAGAAATACAATGATTTTATAAATAAAAAATACAATGATTTTATAAAAAAAAATACAATGATTTTATAAATAAAAAATACAATGATTTTATAAATAAAAAATACAATGATTTTATAAATAAAAAATACAATGATTTTATAAATAAAAAATACAATGATTTTATAAATAAAAAATACAATGATTTTATAAATAAAAAATACAATGATTTTATAAAAAAAAATACAATGATTTTATAAATAAAAAATACAATGATTTTATAAATAAAAAATACAATGATTTTATAAATAAAAAATACAATGATTTTATAAATAAAAAATACAATGATTTTATAAATAAAGATACAATGATTTTATAAATAAAAAATACAATGATTTTATAAATGAAAATACAATGATTTTATAAATAAAAATACAATGATTTTATAAATAAAAATACAATGATTTTATAAATATATAAATACCTTCGGTTTAAAAATATTGTCACGGAAATTGGGCCACAGAATGAATTGGTCACGGCAAATAGGTCACTGGATATATTGGTTGAAAAATATGGTCACGATAATTTGGTCACAGGATAAATTTGTAGTATTTTTAACCAATCAAAGCGTGTCATGTAAAACCTGTTTCTTAATATAATAAGGAATTGTGGGATATCAAAACCTAAAGTAGAGCAATATGACAACCTCTTTAGGTTTCGCTATCCCACAATTCCTTATTTTATCAAGATTCAGCTTTAAATGAAACTCTTTGATTGGTTAAAAATAAGATCACTGGAATAGGCCTTTGGTGAAAACTTGTTAGATTACTATGTAGATTAAAAAAAAGAAAATAAAAAAGATACGAAATTGTAATTTAATTTTAATCAAATTGTGTATAACCAAACTGTATTGTAAAAATACTCTGTTATCCTTTCTGCTTTCTTTGTTGGGTTTTCTTATTTTTCTGTCCTTTCCAACGATTTGCTGGTTTTTTCTTCTGAACTTTCTTCTTTTTCCCTGCTTGTTTCTTATTGTTGGGCCACTTCTTCCCTGCTTGTTTCATATTGTTGGGCCATTTCTTAGCTGGACGAGACTGATGTTTTCGCTGGTTTTGGTGACAGGTACAAGCTGGAGTAGATCCTTGTTAAAGTTTCATATAAAATGTTTAATTCGTATTTAAGAAGGTATGAAAAAGGCCTAACATATTGTAAAGATTAACAAAATAGAAGCAAGTGATATATAAACTAATAATATAGAGAAAGATAACGGTAAATAATTAATATAATATCATATAAAGTTTAACAGTGATTTTTATTGTATAGATAGATATTAACTAGGCACATTGTAATTGTTTGTTAACCTATTTGGGTGAATTGGTGCTGAAGGCTGAGATTCTATGTTCATGTGGGACATCAACTTGATATAAGGAGAGTTATCGGAATGCAGGAGGACATATTATGTTTAAAATAATCCAGTGTAGGGCACAGCCTTAAGTCGGACCCCCACTCTAGCTAGCGTTAAATTTTGGATGTGATGGTTTGGAAGATAATCACAATCGGAAATATGTTTGATGCTTTCCAAGTCGATGGTCATTTAATCACAGACGAACCAGAACCTAAGATTTCATTTTGAATAGTGATACGAACCACTGAAATACAGCTCTATTTATAAAGTCATATTGACAGGATATGCTTACTCTTCTAGACACCTGGTACCACTTTTCGTTATAAATTTTTTACCAATATTTGGATATATGTTTTTGAGTTCGGATTTTATTTTGTGGTTCGGGTTGTTAATACTTGGTTAATGTATTAACAATTTGAACTCTTCTCACCTGTCTGTTTGTTTCTGATTATATTGTTGACAGTTTTTAACAATGGGTAACGACCATCACCACAACTTCCAGTAAAATCATCTGTCTCTACTGACCATAACATAGCACCACCCAAATCACGATCCCTAGCATAGTTAGCCTGTAAAGGAAGGAGACATCAAAGCCTCATGCATGTTTTAAAGGGGTATTCCGCTTTTTTTAAAACAAATTTTCATTATTAACAACATCGTAAATTATACCTGAAAATATTTCTAAATTATGCTAATTATATCTATGTGACTTTTTGATCAAACTGAAGTGGTTTTAAAAGGGTTCATTAAAAACAGAGAGTGCTAATTGTTAATTAAGCAGTTTGACCTAGTTTTGGTGTTTGACTTTATAATGGCTTGTTATTATTAGTTAAAATCTTTAGAATACGTAGGAGACATATTTCTCTACAATTAGGCGTTTATTTTACTTAAATCCGTACAGTAGTTTTCTAACAGCTTTCAAAAACCATAACAAATCTTAAAAACCTACATAAACTTTTTAAATAGTTTTGACGTTAAAAAATTGATTAAAATCAAATTAATTATTTACTCCTAGTAGTCCCCAATGGTGGACAGCCAGATCAATATGTTTTTCAATAATTAATTTTAGCTTAATAAGAGCATGATAGCTTTAACGAACTGTCCAAGCACATTCCTTCAAAATGTGGTGGAGAACATCTTGATTGGTAATAGAGAGAGGTTCGGATCAACCTACCTTTATTTCTAAGCTTGCCTTGTCGTCATATCCTACCCACTGATCACCTCGGAAAGCGTACGGAGAGTCCTGTTCTGGAATATATCTCCGATTCCAGCCTTTATACTTTAAATTCTCACAAATCTACAAATCAAACTTGATCAATTACAATGGAGGTATGACAGTGAAGGACTGTGTGGGGATATTTCTACAGGCTGTCAATAACTTGTCACCAGTTGGTCTGACAGAATCTGAGTAGTGGTTCATCTACAATAGAAACTGGTTGAACCACGTCCATGGGCTTAGACGCGTGTTTCAATAATTATTTAGTTTATATCGTGTTATATAGAGATTCTATTGTTTAGTCATGACACCTGGTAAGTCCAAGTTTGAGATTTTAAATTTTATGTTCATTCTAAGAGGTAGTATAACTTTAAAGGGACAGGTGTGCTATTTTGGAGGGTTGATTTTAGTCTTGATTATATGTATATAGTTTCCCGAAGTAGTAGAAGTATATATATACGAAAATCACATAATTCCTTCAAAAATATCGCAAACTAGGAATTTAAGTCTCTATTTCTACATATGTCTTTCAATATATCACATCACAGAGTATTTTAAATTGACGAGTCGTCATTTTAACATTCAAACGCAGATAAATTCTGGACACTCATGTATTTGAAGGCTCAAAGTTCGACGGTGAGCTGTGGACTCTATTACTGATTGGCTTAGCAAAAAAATATCACGTTTCTGAAGTTTGGTTAATGGCGCACCAGTCCCTTTAAAATAATTCAACTCGCCTCAAAATATGAAAGGATGCCAGCCTCATCTGTGTAAGCTCCTGGTCGACCACCAGATTGAGCAGGAGCCCCCACTTGATTCTGGTTGGTGAAGTTGAGAGTATAACTCATTCCGTAAGCACTCAATCCCATGATCAGTTTCTCTTTCGGTATTCCTTGATTCAACCAGTAGTCTACAGACCAATTCTACAATAAATACATAAATTTAATTTAATCAGGGATGTATCTACAAACATCCTGAGGGTGAGCAAAAATGAGAAGGGTTGCAGCGTCTTGAGGCCGGGGAGTCAGGGCTGCCAGAGGAACCCAAAAGGCTTCAGATGGCCTAAGATGAATTGTAAGCATTTAGAGAACTTAATTTCCACTACAAAATAAAACCTTTCACAGGCCTGGCGAGGGCAATGTTTGATGACGTCACTAATCGTGAAGGGCCTTATTTGATAAAGCGATTAGTGACGTCATCAAACACTTAGTTTTAGTTGAATGGCAGGAATCACAGAATTAAATGGGTTTTTTTTCGGGTTTCATTATGCAGATAACAACTTTGGTCAAACTCAGCAAAGAAAGCTCTAAAAAATACAAAAGAATTTTTGCATTGTCCGAGTATCAGTATTTCTTGGGAAAACCCTCTCAAAAGCTCTATGGAGTTGCCGCATTTTGAATTCAGTGTCGACAAAAGGCCCCCCATTGAGTCAGTCTGCCTCCTGTTTGTACCCCCAGTCTCGGAAGGCCGAGTACAGTTAGATACTTACAATATTTAATTCTCGTTCCTTCCTTGTTTGGTCAATGTTGTTCGGCCAAAGTCCAGTATGATGACCGGTAGTGTTTTCCCAGTTACCATGGTAATTATACGACATCAACAACATATAGTCCAACGTCCTGTAGCAATAAATTATAATATGACGTCATCATCTCATAGTTAACACCAACAGTCGATACATTCAGTGTTTAATGCTTTCCGAATGTACTTTTTGTTCGCGTCACAAAATCCCAGCTTTGAAGAAGACAGGAATTTGATTGGCTGGCAGTCATCAAACTGATGAATGTTCAAGAAGGCCGTCTTTAGACCCTAACTGAAGTGGTTATATTAAAAATAAAAGTTAATAAATACGGAAGGAATATTTTGTATTAAACTGTGAAGGCATGTTGAGGTTAAAATAACTAATTAGGTTATTCAGAGTATCGAACTTACGGTATAAGTTGTCTGGGCTCGTACGACAAGTTGATATAAAACGTACCAGACGCAGCCGCAAGGGTTAACAACAATTTATCATTCCCTGTCTCGGCCGCTTCCTTCGTAAATTCCGACTGAAGTTGCTGAAAAATAGTGTTCACAATACACAGTTAGTTGAACATGCTACACTTACTAGTTTCTAAATATTTACTCAAATATCATTTAGTAAGATCGAGCATGGTGGTTGTGGGTTCCAATCTCGATCGGCGTGAGAAAGTCAGATGACCTAGAATAAGTCATCTTCACTCATAATTCCAGTCAACCCAGCTGTAAATGGGTACAGATAATCCGGGAAGGATCAATGCCAAGAGGTTTGGTCAACGAACAGCTGGTAGAAAGGATCTTTAACTGTGAACCTCAGTTGTTAATATTTACCCTCATTAAGTCGGTAAATTTCCGTTTATCCCCTGGGGGACTGCCACGTGCGGCCGGGAATTCCCAATCCATGTCTAGACCATCAAATCCATATTTTCTCAGATATTTGATGACATTCTTGGCGAACTGATTTCGTGTCTGCCAAGTTGATGCCAATTCTCTAAACGGATCGGAACCAATTTCCCAGCCACCGACAGCCAGTAGAATCTTTAAGTCGGGGTTGATTCGTTTTAAAGCTACGGTTCTTTCATACAGTCCTGTAATATATTCTTAATAACTTGTAAATTGTGTAATATACCAGAAAAACCATTTTCATTTCAGGATTTATAATAACGTATCAAAGTTAAGACCATAATATTTTGACTTCTTAAAGATGGGTTTCTTGTTTTTTTTAGAGTAAAATGAAGCAAACTATTTGATTAATTGGTGTTTCTAATGAATTATCATGTATTCTTAATCATATCATTATGTTCTTACTGCATATAATCAAAGGTTTTAACCAATCATAAATGTCCATGTATGAACAGTCTGGATAAACAAAAAAAGAATTTTTGACCTTTCTTAATCGGTCAATCATTGGAATTCTGTTGGTAATTCGTTTCTAATTTAGCTAATTATGAATTAATTATATATTCAAGACTCAAATCAACCCCCCAAAATTGCGCATGTGTAACTAGTGTTGGAAAACACAGAATCAATCAAAGGATGAGTCTAAAAGTTAAGCTCGAACGCTGCGAAAGTTGATCTTTTCCATACATGATTATATGTTACCCATTTTTACATTACCTACCTCCAGGAATCTGATCGTTCCAGTTGGTGTTGGTTAATTCCAACCCAGAAACATTGGCGAAGGCATAGACTATATGGGTACAGAGACTAGCGTCAATGTCCTCAGGGACGAAAGTTCCAATACCATTTCTATACTGAGATTCCGAGTTGAAATAACAAAACATCTTTTTTTGACCTGCACAAAAAACAAAACAGTAATTGGGTTTCATATAAATTTGATTGTAAAGAGGTTTTCTAAATTTATTATATGCATCAGGAACACTGATATCATCAATTTACACCATTCTAATTTCACATCAGACGTCCGATAAATCTAACGGTAGTGAAGTCATACAGGAACCTTAGATGTCTGATTCACTCATGTTATCAGTGTCCCGCAATATATAAAAAGGTATAAAGGTTGCCTCTGGTCGAGCTCTGTGGGTATTATATTAATCATGTGAATATGGCGACTTACCTGAACATACTGTGAACATGAACATCAATATGGCGACATACCTGAACGGGCGAAACACCTGAACATACTGTGAACATCAACATCAATATGACGACATACCTGAACATACTGCGAACATCAACACCAATATGGCGACATACCTAAACATACTGTGAACACCAACACCAATATAGCGACATACCTGAACATACTGTGAATACCAACACCAATATGGCGACCACCTCCCAAAGCCTCATCTTACAGAACCTGAATATAAAAAAAATATCAATTATAAAGAAGGCACTTTTTGGTTGACCACCAACTTTTACCTTTCGGGAGAAGATCTAGTGCGATCGCCTCAGTCCTCCGAGGGTAGGGTACCTAAAAAATAGTTTGAATTGTCCATATTTGCCCTTTTTTTATCCGATTGGGTCTCGTAATAAGGATCGTGGCGGGAGCTGGGAAATGAGAGACGAACAACAGCAATTCTTCGCACAATATTGACACGATTCCGGGACGTGAATATGCTGAAGGTTCTCGCTTCCAATACCTGTCTTTCAAGACTCACTGAATATAGGCATATGTTGAGGCGAGCAGCCACGGGAAGCCAAAAGTAAACGGTTATGAAAGCTCAAGGTTACAGAAGAGACAAGGGGGGTCTTCAGACGACCAAGACGTTCATGGTCAGACATGTTGTAAAACAGTAGCCGATCACTTTTTCAGTGCCCGACTCTCAGAGGACCGAAACGATCGCGCCAGATCTGGGCTCTTTCCCTGAAGGTAAAAGTTAATTTTCGATAGTTATTGAAGGTTCCCGACGATTTCGTGAAAAAAATACAACCAGTAAGAGGATGAGGTTCTATCAGGAACAACTCGCTCCAGGGAGAAACTGTCTTTAGGTGTGGTTAGACGAAGTACGGTGTCCGATGTGGTGTACGGTGCGGTATAGTCGATACAGTAGAAAACTTCATCTGTTTCCGTTTGTATCGATTATTCTGCACCGTATCCCGCATCGGACAGCGTACTTCGTCTATTCGCAGCTTTATAAGCAAATTTAGAACGTCCGATGCGTTCCGCCGTCATAAGGTAGGGACTCCATTGGGTGAAAAGAGGGGGACGATTAGAGGCGATTCAAGATGACAATGGGGCCGATCAGAGAAATCTTTCATCAGTTACCAGATCGGGCCGATTGAAAAAAAAACAAAACAATTCTTGGTGAAACGAGGGTAACAAGTATCATAGAGTGTTTAAGATTTCCCGATAAAAAAAAAGAATTACTCACCTGCAATACGAGAGTGTTTATGAAAATCCTAATGAGAGGTTGACTAATGAAACAAAATGATTTCTTTACAAACACGTTCGTTAAACACAGTCAGGTCGGTAATTACCACTAGTGACGTCACGAATACAGATGGCGTACGGTGACGTTTAAATATTGACTATTGCATGTTGTTTTATGTAACTCAGTGGACATTCCTTATACCACGATTCACTCCGTATTAAAGGGATCGATGCGCCATTTTTTTTTAACTACCATACCTTAGTCTCAGAAACAATGTTTTTAGCTAAACCAATCAGTTATAGAGTTCACAGCTCACCGTCAAAATTTGAGCCTTTAAATCCATGTGTCCATGTGTATCTGCGATTGAAAGTTAAAATGACGACTTGTCTTTTCTAGAAACACTGTCATATATAGAAAAGCCATCTATAAAAATATGAAAAAAAATTTCTAGTTTGAGATATTTTTGAAGGAATTATGTGATTTTTGTACATTTCTAGTACACTATTTACATATATTCAAGATTCAAATTAACACCCCCCCCCCCCCCCCCACAAAATGGCGCATTTGCCCCTTTAAAGGGATTGTAAAAAGGTTTTTTCTAAACAAAATGTGTATCGTGGTTACTGAATTTCATTAAAACAAAGTGTTTGATGATGTCACTAATTGCGAAATATGCATGTGACGTTCGAGGAAAGTGTAGAATCAGATTTGTCGGGCCGATATCACATCCGTATATGACGCCCGAGGAACGTGTAGGATCAGATTTGTCGGGCCGATATCACATCCGTATATGACGTCCGAGGAACGTGTAGGATCAGATTTGTCGGGCCGATATCCCATCCGTATATGACGTCCGAGGAACGTGTAGGATCAGATTTGTCGGGCCGATATCCCATCCGTATATCACGTCTGAGGAACGTGTAGGATCAGATTTGTCGGGCCCATATCACATCCGTATATGACGTCCGAGGAACGTGTAGGATCAGATTTGTCGGGCCGATATCAAATCCGTATATGACGTCCGAGGAACGTGTAGGATCAGATTTGTCGGGCCGATATCACATCCTATATGTCGTCCGAGGAACGCGTAGGATCAGATTTGTCGGGCCGATATCACATCCGTATATGACGTCCAAGGAACGTGTAGGATCAGATTTGTCGGGCCGATATCACATCCGTATATCTTGTCCGAGGAATGTGTAGGATCAGATTTGTCGGGCCGATATCACATCCGTATATCTCGTCCGAGGAACGTGTAGGATCAGATTTGTCGGGCTAACATGCAAACAATTTGAAGACGTGACGTCATAAGAGGGTTTGTTTATTTGTGATATTTGTAGCAAATATCTTGTTTGTCGAGTTGGCGTCTTAAACTTTACAGAAAGTTCTCGTACTCGTACATGCACTAAATATTTGGTTTTACAGCATACCTGATAGAGAATCGATTGAAAAAATATATTCTATCTTTATTTAGTGGCGGTTGGAGGTTGGACCGTTGGGGGTGGGGCTGTTGGGGGGTGGGGCCGTTGGGTGATGTAGTATTTTTTTTCTAAAAGGAATAATAAAGATTAACCTGTTTCTTTGTATTAAAGGTCTAAATTGTATATATGTATCGTGGGCACTGATAGCATCAATTTATACCATTTTAATTTTCAATCAGACATCTGTGGTTCCTGTAATTCTACTAAAACTAAGCGTTTGTTAACGGCCATAACAGCAAAATATGCTAATATTATCTAATACATGTATTTGTTTAATTTGTTAAGAATAAGGTTGGGGTGCAAACCATTTTGCTAGTGTGGTAAATCCCCCCCCCCCTTTTCGTTCCCCCTGGCGCCGTCATTGAGCTCTTGTAATAACATCAAATAGAATATTTTACTCTGTGAATATTTGTTTTAAGAGGTCAACGTACTGGACGGAATTTCAACCAAACTATTTTTACATTTCAAATTAACAGTGGACCTTTAAAACAGAATTAATTATTGTGTAACATAGTTTCAGATATGGGATCTATAGTTGTATAGGATCTATAGTTGTATAGAATCTATAGTTGTATAGGATCTATAGTTGTATAGGATCTATAGTTGTATAGGATCTATAGTTGTATAGGATCTATAGTTGTATAGGGCCTATAGTTGTATAGGTTCTATAGTTGTATAGGATCTATAGTTGTATAGGATCTATAGTTGTATAGGATCTATAGTTGTATAGGATCTATAGTTGTATAGGATCTATAGTTGTATAGGATCTATAGTTGTATAGGATCTATAGTTGTATAGAATCTATAGTTGTATAGGATCTATAGTTGTATAGGATCTATAATACATTGCACTCCCCCTGGATTTCCACTGTGTTTATACAGATCTTAATACAACCATGATACGGTTAACAAAGCTTGTATCTCCTTATATCCCCTTTTCTATCTATTTTTTTTCAGATTTCAGGATAGAGGACGGCTAGAAGGAACCAAAAATGAAATGAAATGAGTGGAGTTTTACGTCTTACTTTTCTGTACCATGTGGGCCAATGAAGACGGGCAACACTCAGGGTGCAATGGGGGGAATTTTGCCAGGACAGCTGTATTAGCCTGCTCTTTTTTCCGATTGTTGAGGGATCTTTTAACTTTCACGACCTGTTGTACACGGAGCCTTGGTTTATTTGTTCCATCCGAACGACTAGACGCTTTTTTTTTCAATGTCAGCCCCTCTTACCTGTATCACTGACAGGGGGAAACTGGGTTGAAAAATTCAAAGAGATCGCCGTGGGAGCGTAATTACGTCACTCTGTGTGGTAGTGGATATTTCCAAACATATTACCTTGAAAATAGTTGTAACACTGGAAAAATAGAAACATATTTTATTAAACAACTGCAACCTTCATTGACTCTCGCCTGATTATTGTTAGATATTTTTTAAACACAGGTAATCATGTCACGATACGATAGATATCGGGATACAAGGGTTGCGATATGATACATTTCGAGATACAAGTGCATATCGAGATACAAGAGTTAAGATGCAATACATATCGCGATATAATTACATATCGAGATACAAGGGTCACGATGCGATACATATCGCGATACAAGTGTTTGGATACTATACATATCGCGATACATGGGTCACAATGCGATACATATCGCGATACAAGGGTCACAATACGATACATATCGCGATACAAGGGTCACAATACGATACATATCGCGATACAAGGGTCACGATACAATACATATCATCTTCAATTCATCTTCAAAGTTTCTATATATATTAATGTATAACTTTATAACTGTGATATTTGGTAATATAGTTGATAGAAGTGGTTAACGACCACTGTCTTATATATAGTTACCAACAATTTCAATCAAGTCAGTGAGAAAAGTTTGTAATTCCAAACACCAACTATTAAAAATAACCAGTATTTTATGGAATGAGAGGTATTATCAAGTATCGATACACTGATATATCGTACCAGCACTATTCAAATTGTTAGGTATGTTATAAAATAAACCGACTTCACAATATCTTTGTGTCTTTCATTCGGCGCTAAAACCAGAAACTAATCCGACCTTGGATATTCTGTAACTTCATGGAGTTTTACGTTCTACTTCTTCAACAGGTAGAAAATCGTCTGGAACTTAAATTCATTTTAGTTACACCAAGATGTTTCAGCGGACTGGGAGCGTAGCTACCGTGAGGCTCGTCCAAGACTTTCGACAGTTCCTGTAATTCTTCCATCCCTATAGCAGCGTCGTCAAGCATATCTTCGTGAGCCTCACAACTTTTCTTTAGTTTTAGTCGAGTTATCTCCCGTCGTATTCCTAAAAACTGCTGCGCTAAATTCTGATCCATCCGCCGCATTTCAGCCTAAAAAATAAAAATAATATATAAAAACATCAGCCAACACCGGGAAATATTCTATTAGCATTACCTCTAACTCTTAGAATGGACATAAAAATTAAGTCTCAAATTTGGTCAAATAAAGCCCCATTTCCACCATGCCGTTATAAAGCGTTCCATTCTCGGTCCGGACCAGGCCGCGATAAAATATGCCCATTCAAATAATAGTAAACTCAAGCGGTTTGAGAACGGTTCTGCAGTTGTAGTGTGTTTTCTACATTTTTCTATGTTTATCAGGGACACTGATAGTATTAATTTACACCATTTTAATTTTACATCAGACGTCTGTGGTTCCTGAAATCCCACGAAAATTAGGTGTTTGATGATGTCACTAATCACAAAATACGTTCGTATCACATAAGATCCCTCACGATTAGTGACGTCATCAAACACTTAGTTTTAGTAGAAACTATAAAATTGGAATGATGCAGATTGATGCTATCCTATTTACAATACCTTTAAAACTAAAATATTATTATATAAACACTTACTAATTGTGATCGAATCCAATCTAAAGAATCGTTGATACGAACTTGTCTGTCATTGGTCCATTTCTCACATTTCGTTGATTTCGCTACTTCGAATTGATCAGAAGATTTCTGTATTTTGGGTTTGTCTATATATTCTTCTCTCCAGACTAGATAGCTAGGACGTCGCGTATTCAATTTCAATTTCGTTGCCGTTTCTTTAAGTTGTTTCAAGTCCGCTTCTGTTGGTGCGAGTACATGTGATGTTTTCCGTTTGCGTTGCGTTTTCATTGCGGAATGTGAAACATTTTCGGTAAGTCGTTGTTGATTTGATTTTAAAGTCTCGTTATCAAAGTCTTCGTCGATGACTGATAGAATTCGTGGTGAGTTTTTAATAAGGAGATCATCGTCTTCGTGTGAACTCATTTCGACAATTTACAATATTGCTGATTCTGAAATAGAATTTTAGTTTTTTAAGAACATAAGCAAGAAAACGTATCAGCAGCATTGGTCGGTGGCGGGGATAATAACAACAATAGTTCCTAAACAACAATAGTTCCTATACAACTATAGTTTTAGAATAACAATAGTTCTAGAATAACAATAGTTCCTAAACAACAATAGTTCCTAAACAACAATAGTTCTAAAGCAACAATAGTTCTTAAACAACAATAGTTCTTAAACAACAATAGTTCCTATACAACAATAGTTCTTAAACAACAATATAGTTTTTGAAAAGGCGTCTGTAAGAAAAGTTACCGTACTATAACATATAGTAGAAAACCAAAATGGCGACAGATTGACCCCTAGTAAAACGAGGTTTGGATATTGTGCATTTTATGAAATATATGAATTAAAGAGACAGATGCGCCATTTTTTACCAATCATACCTTAGTCTCAGAAACGGGAACTTTTTTTTTAGCTAAGCTAATCAGTAATAGTGTTCACAGCTCACTGTCGAAATTTGAACCTTCAAATCAATGTGTGTCCAGGATTATCCACGTTTGAAAGTCGTCTTTTCTTGAGACACTGCCATATATAGAAAAGATATATATAGAAACAGGAAAAGAAATTCCTATTTTTGAAGGAATTGTGTGATTTTGGTACATTTCTAGTACTTCTGAAGACTATTTACGTATATCAAGCCTAAAATCAACCCCACAAAAATGGCACACTTGTCCCTTTAAACCAGATTTAACAAACAAAAAACAGATGTCTTATTTATAGCAATATCCTTTTAAGTTTCAACTTGGCGGTAGCTTATCTAAAACAAATACACTTGTATTTATTTATGCATAATTTCTTATATTAAACAGCGATACATCAAACTAGTGAACCTAATTTCATTGTAGGTTATATCTATTTCTATTAATAGTATAGGCCTATAGGGCAGGGGCGGCGCCAGTCAGGATACTGTGGGGGAGGGGCGGCCATTTGCATAGTTTTGTACCTTTTTGCCCCAAAAAATGTGTCAGAATGCACCAAAGCAATTCCATTTTTCAAAAAAAATTCTGATGCAGGACCCTCACTTTGGCGCCTCCACAAAATTGCTACATTTTGAATTCAGCCTCGACAGTTGTCCCCCCATTGAGTCAGTCTGCCTTCTAATTGTAACCACAGTCTCAAAATATTTGATTAATTGGTGTTTCTTATGAATTATCATGTATTCTTAATCATATCATTATGTTCTTATTGCATATAATCAAGGGTTTTAACCAATCATAAATGTCCATGTATGTACAGTCTGGATAAATAAAAACAACTTTTTTGACCTTTCTTGATCGGTCACTCATTGGAATTCTGCCGGTAATTCTCTATAATTTAGCTAATTATGAATTAATTATGGACATGTGATACAAACTGGTATTTTTCTAAGTCATTAGAACACCTCTACTTTCTATTCATATAAGTATTAGTATTTTTATTTTCATAAATTAATGAAGATTTCGAATAGATAACATGTAGATAGATATAAATTTCTACCTTCTACTTTAACCTTGGGAGCAACACGGTCTTTACTCGACGTCCTAACTACTTTTTGAACTGTAAAATCATGTTTACAAATAATAACTTTTCCAGTGGTTAACATTTTCATCAACCCAAAGACAATCTAAGACTCTCAGTAGTATCTTGTTTTTGATATTTCAATTCAGCAACCAGTGTATATAGTCAGAGAGTAGACGCCTTAAAAATAATTTGTCTTACCAATCAGTTAAATGTTTCCTGTCTTGTATAGTGGTTAGTGATCTCTCATTTCATAAATACCTATATTAATTTATATATATTCCTACTGTCTTCATAGTAACGGTAAATATCTCATATGTTGTGTTAATCATTGAGGATTAACGGATTAGGATAAGCCAGAATGTCCTAATCGTTTACTAACTATTGCTAGATTAACTTAATCCAGGCTTATCTTATCTTCGTCCCCCAAATCTTCATGTAGGTAACATAAGTAATAGAACTCGTATGGTTACCCATCTTCTCACATCAAAATACAGTCCAAACGATTTATATTCTTTAGTGTGTTAGATCATCAGATCTCAGGTAAAAAAATGCCAGTTCCCCAGTGTCGTCTCTTACCCCTAATATCTACTGAAATCAGTAGATTGAAAAAAAATTTCTAAATTTTGTATGTGTATCAGAGACACTAATAGCATCAATTTACATCATTCAGACGTCTGTGGTTCCTGCAATTCCACTAAAACTAATTGTTTAATGACGTCACTAATCGTAAAATTTGCTTTAATATCACTCAAGGCCCTTCGTCATCAAACACTTAATTTTGGTAGAATTGCAGGAACCACAGACTTCTGGTGTAATATTGTCAATAAATATAGGGGACGATACTCTCTAGTTATATTATAGACTACAAATAACTTTGTAATTGTTGATAACACCAGTTCAATAACGTTCATGTGAAATGAAATGAATGGAGTTTTACGTTCTACCTTGTGGGTCTTATGAAGACGGACAACGCCATGCAGTGTGCTGCTACGTTGGAAATTTTGCCAGGACAGAAGCATTAACCTGATCTTTTTCGATTTCCAACTGTCAAGGGATCTCTAACGGAGTCTCTTTTTATTGTCCCATTCGAACGTCTAGATCACTGACAGGAGGAAACCGGATTGAAAAATCCGCAGGTATTATCTCTACCTATGTCAGGATTGAACCCTGGACCTTCAGGTTAGCGAGCAAGTATCTCACTCACTGAGCCACCGTGGCTCCCAATAAGATAAAGTGAACTATAGTATGCTGAAAAACTCAAAATAGAATATTTTCACTGTTAAAATAGTGTTCAATACATCAATTATAGAGTGATATAGATATACCACTGTTAAAATAGTGTTCAATATATCAATTGTAGAGCGATATAGAAATACCACTGTTAAAATAGTACTCAATATATCAATTGTAGAGTGATATAGAAATACCACTGTTAAAATAGTGTTCAATACATCAATTGTAGAGCGATATAGAAATACCACTGTTAAAATAGTGTTCAATATATCAATTGTAGAGCGATATAGAAATACCACTGTTAAAATAGTTCTCAATACACCAATTGTAGAGTGATATAGAAATACCACTGTTAAAATAGTACTCAATATATCAATTGTAGAGTGATATAGAAATACCACTGTTAAAATAGTGTTCAATATATCAATTGTAGAGTGATATAGAAATACCACTGTTAAAATAGTGTTCAATACATCAATTGTAGAGCGATATAGAAATACCACTGTTAAAATAGTGTTCAATATATCAATTGTAGAGCGATATAGAAATACCACTGTTAAAATAGTTCTCAATACATCAATTGTAGAGCGATATAGAAATACCACTGTTAAAATAGTGTTCAATACATCAATTGTAGAGCGATATAGAAATACCACTGTTAAAATAGTGTTCAATACATCAATTGTAGAGCGATATAGAAATACCACTGTTAAAATAGTGTTCAATACATCAATTGTAGAGTGATATAGAAATACCACTGTTAAAATAGTGTTCAATATATCAATTGTAGAGTGATATAGAAATATTAAAACCGAACCTAAAGAAACATGTGGTAACTCAGAGTTTCACGCTATCAGATCTATTCATAGATATATTAAATTCTTACTTCAGTGAGATCTCTAAATTTACCAACCTCGGTCTATGCTTTCCTATTCGCTTGATATTGGTAACCTTAATACTCCAAAACACAACGACCAAACTATTCAAATACACTATGTCTATTTTTACAAGCTTTACTAATCTATCATAGTTAAATATAATGAAAATTTAAAATTCAACCCACGAAATAAAGGTCATAAAAAACAACAAGTTTGTAATAGTATAACCAAATAATACTATTATTATAATATATGTCACTTGTAATATATTACAGAGATAGCTTCGTCATTTTCCATTTGGATCTTGAATATATGTTAAAGGGGCCGTTCCGCCATTTTGTTGTTTGGTTCAGGGGGAGGGGGGGTGTTGATTTGAGTCTTGAATATATGTAAATAGTCTTCAGATATACTAGAAATGTACAAAAATCACAAATTCCTTTAAAAATATCTCAAACTAGGAATTTTACTCACTATTTCTATAGATATCTTTTCTATATATCACAGAGTATCAAAAAATTTCAAACGCGGATAATTCTGGACCCACATGGATTTGAAGGCCTAACTATCGACAGTGAGCTATGAACACTATTACTGATTAGCTTAGCTACAAAAATAAAGTAAAGTAAAATATGTCAAAAGGATGACGAACTTGTCCCGTTAAATAGTGCTCGCTTAGTTGTAAAGGTGGTAGCCCACTTTCTACTACAAACCAAACACAGAAGATCTAAACTACGCTCACATTAAAGCAGTTAACCCATTTTTTATTTCAAATTTCAAGTTAGAACCTGTACAGAGTTAATTGTTGTTTGTAAGTTTAAGTTGATACTCTCCCTTGAGTTGCTTGTAACAGTATACAGCATTTGGTAGAATATCGGTAAACATCAATGGCTCTTTTTACTAGGGGTGGGGGACCCTAACTTCAACCGGTCCCTATGGTAGTTGAACCACTATTATCTATTAATTCCATAATTTATTTGGTGGGAGGGGAGGTGGGTGGGTGTGTGTCAGACGGGCCACAATTCTTGGGTCAAGCCCAAAAGGATTTTTTTTTTAAATATACGGAAATGAGAGCTCCTCAACACAACAATTCGAATATTGTACCATTACCAAATTCTACAGCTTATCCTCGTAATATCCCGCACTGTCAAACCTCTCTCTTCATCTACCAACTAATTCTTTTCTGGTAAATGAAAAACTTAGTTGCAACAGCAGAAATATAATCTATCTTATATCTTGTAGGCCTACACTACAATACACATAAAAAATCTAGAAAACCTTTTTACAATCCCTTTAATTTTCCCTGTGGTGACCCGTCAACGTAGCCTATTATCTAATCGCCCACAACTTCCGTCTTGAAACTCAGAAACATTATAACTTACAGTAACTCAACTATAATGGGGACTAACCAGTAGTAATATATTCAGAGGGGCAATGGGGTATGGTCTTTAATTGAAGTAATGAAATTGGTCTGTTGTCAGAATTTTTTCCGAAAGGGGGAGAGGGGATAATCCTTTTTATCGGGGCAACCTACTCCAACCCCTAAAACAGATTTGATTTTGATTGTTAAGGGAGGTGGGGGAAGTAATATATCGGGAGGAGCAATGGTGCATGGTGTTTAGATAAGGTAATAAAAATGGTCGGCTGTCAAAATTTTTTCAGCTCCTCCCCCCCTTCCATTCTCCCCACCACACTTGCCCCCCTGTATCTACGACCCGATTCCATGTTGATTTTGATACAAGTGAAAACATTCAGGACCGTGTATTTCAATAATGGCCCTGAAAAAAATTGCCGTGTCTCGCCACCTGGTGGAAGAATTTCGCGTACCTGCTGCATTATGGACTACACGTGACGTCACTGTGTACATCCTCGCTTAAACATTTTACTGGATTGGGGAAAAATTGGAGTATTTTATCGAGTTAACTCGTGTTTTGTGGATTTTTCCGTTGTTTTAAGATTTGTGTACTATGAAGGAATTTAAGTGAATGTGTATTTGTAACGGATAGCAGTATTTTAAGCCCCAAAATGTTAAAATGCATCCCACTATTTCGAGCCTGCAATCGGCAGGTTGAATATATAGACAGACGACATTGGGCTTTAACAACCATTCCCGACGATGTTATGCGTTATTCCAGAAGTTTAGAGGAACTTTTATTAGATTCCAATCAAATCCGCGATTTACCCAGGGTAGGTTGGAATTATTTTGTCCTAAAATTCGACCATTTCTTAATGTAAACAATTGACAGGTCTCACCGGTTTCATCAATTTTAATTTCAGGGATTTTTTCGCCTGGTAAATTTGAAGAAAATTGGATTAAGCGACAATGAAATCGGTCGTCTGCCACCCGATGTGGGTAGTTTCATCAATCTTATGGAACTGGATGTTAGCAAAAATGGTAAATATTTCAGATTTTTTGCATTATTTACATTTTCAGTCTGTCGTCTGACACTTCCGATTTGTCCAAGATGGCGGCCATGTTGCCGTGAGTATTTGATAAAATGGGCGTGTTTCAATATGAATCGTGATAAACTTTTATCAATTTCTGTAATTATCTCTTTGCCTACAGTTTATAGACCCCATCTTGTTGTACTAATTAGTGACTGAAAGAGGTGTTGATTAATTGGGGTCATTAGGACACCTAGACTCTTCTCTCTTGTTTGAAATGACTGACATTCTTGAAATAGTTGAAGTTTTGATGGATCAGAGGTCATTATTACTCTGGGCCTACTCAGTTCACTGAATAATTCTCATTACTATGAGTAACTTGTTACAGTCATTTGTAAATTGTAAATATATAGACTTATGAAAATATTTCTAAAGCTAATCCTCTTTAGGTATCATGTTCGATATTCTACTTCTAGTTACAATCTTAAAGTACCTGATTCGACATTTTAAAGGGTTGATTTGGGCCTTGAAAATAAATAAATAGTCTTCAGTATTATAAGAGAACTGATCAAAAATATCTCAAACTCTTCTCTAGAAATCTGACTTTTTATGTACTGGTACTGGTATCTGATATTAAAATGAAGATATACTGTCTGTTTGAGAAAGGGGAGAAAAACTCTCCTAATAAGAATGCTAAGAAATTATCACCTTTTTCAGTTTTAGTCACCCAAACAATCAATTATCAATTTTGGACAAATCATCATAATGTAGGTCAAACTATAAAGTCAAGTTAAAGTCCACTGAATTATGATGGCCTCACACCTGTATCTACAGGGGAAAATTGATTGCCTCCCTGAAATAATTCTGACAACTGACCAATTTTATTACTGCAACTTAACACCATACACCATTGCCCCTGCAGATAAATTAGACATCTTCAGGGCAAAAGGTTAATTTGAAGAATGTTCAAGAGGTCTGTCGTTAGACCCTAACTAAAGTGGCTATATTAAAAATAAAAGTTAATAGAAAAGAGAATAAAAGTTTGGTGTAATTCTAATGAGACTATAGGGGAATGTTGTTATAGAATGAAAGTGTTTTATTGGGTAACTGGTAGTAGACTAGACTATATCAAACCATATTGAATTAATCATTATTTAATTACTATCTTTTATTCCTTACCAAACTTTTATTGATTTCTAATTTCCTACAAAATTAATACAGACATTTGTCTGAGCAAAGTAAAATTTTTTTTAATTTTTTCTATATTTTTGATAAGAATTGGAATATCAGTCTCAAAATAGTACTGTTAGTCTCAAAATGTCTTTGCATTAATTAAAATATAATCTTTTGTAAGTTTACATTGAAACAAAACACATTTCCCTCCTAGAAATTTCAACCCCAAAAAGTCACAAATTTTGGCTGAAAATTGTCCACTCACTGCACTGTAAATATCAGATTTTGAAGACATAAAGTGGGCACACGAACGGTCTTGGTCAGAGATTTCTGTCGCTGATTAGAGTCTTGAGTAAAATCTTGTGTGTGCCCGTGCTGCCATGTCAAGATTATCGCCTTGCAGACAGGATTTATAATATCAAACAAGTTTGATAATTGTCTCTGATTATTTTATCATCTGCAAGACCGAGCGTTATAATCCAATCAGATTCATTTTCCTTTCAATTTCATGCTCTCAACGTGATTATCAACGTAGTGGAAAATGACTGACTGGAGATTTTTGTCTCCTCGTGTGCCAGTGCCAGTCCGTGAAACCCCTGACATGACTCTAATCGGCCACACAAAAATCACCAACCAAGACTGTCCCTTGCCAGCACCTTTATGTATATATACACAAAAGACATTGTAAGACTAGATCAGTACTATTTTGAGGCTGATATTCCAATTCTCATAAAAATAATGGAAAACAATTCAAAAAAGTTTTTACTTTGCTCTGATACATGACAATCAAATTATAACTTTGGTTGCCACCTACAATTCTACAGCTAAACATACCTACGTGCTTCTATAGGAGAGTATGATCTATAACATCTAATACTTGTGACCTAGGCCAGTGCTTCTATAGGAGAGTATCTTCTATAACATCTAATACTTGTAACCTAGGCCAGTGTTTCTATAGGAGAGTATCTTCTATAACATCTAATACTTGTGACCTAGGCCAGTGTTTCTATAGGAGAGTATCTTCTATAACATCTAATACTTGTGACCTAGGCCAGTGTTTCTACAGGAGAGTATCTTCTATAACATCTAATACTTGTGACCTAGGCCAGTGTTTCTATAGGAGAGTATCTTCTATAACATCTAATACTTGTAACCTAGGCCAGTGTTTCTATAGGAGAGTATCTTCTATAACATCTAATACTTGTGACCTAGGCCAGTGTTTCTATAGGAGAGTATCTTCTATAACACCTAATACTTGTGACCTAGACCAGTGTTTCTACAGGAGAGTATCTTCTATAACACCTAATACTTGTGACCTAGGCCAGTGCTTCTATAGGAGAGTATCTTCTATAACATCTAATACTTGTGACCTAGACCAGTGTTTCTACAGGAGAGTATCTTCTATAACACCTAATACTTGTGACCTAGACCAGTGTTTCTACAGGAGAGTATCTTCTATAACATCTAATACTTGTGACCTAGGCCAGTGTTTCTACAGGAGAGTATCTTCTATAACATCTAATACTTGTGACCTAGACCAGTGCTTCTACAGGAGAGTATCTTCTATAACACCTAATACTTGTGACCTAGGCCAGTGTTTCTATTGGAGAGTATCTTCTATAACACCTAATACTTGTGACCTAGGCCAGTGCTTCTACAGGAGAGTATCTTCTATAACATCTAATACTTGTGACCTAGACCAGTGCTTCTACAGGAGAGTATCTTCTATAACACCTAATACTTGTAACCTAGACCAGTGTTTCCATAAGAGAGTATCTTCTTTAACACCTATTACTTGTGACCTAGCCCAGTGTTTCTATAGGAGAGTATCTTCTATAACACCTATTACTTGTGACCTAGCCCAGTGTTTCTATAGGAGAGTATCTTCTTTAACACCTATTACTTGTGACCTAGCCCAGTGTTTCTATAGGAGAGTATCTTCTATAACACCTATTACTTGTGACCTAGCCCAGTGTTTCTATAGAAGAGTATCGTCTATAACACCTAATACTTGTGACCTAGGCCAGTGTTTCTACAGGAGAGTATCTTCTATAACATCTAATACTTGTGACCTAGGCCAGTGTTTCTATAGGAGAGTATCTTCTATAACACCTAATACTTGTGACCTAGACCAGTGTTTCTATAGGAGAGTATCTCCTATAACACCTAATACTTGTAACCTAGACCAGTGTTTCTATAGGAGAGTATCTTCTATAACACCTAATACTTGTGACCTAGACTAGTGTTTCTATAGGAGAGTATCTTCTATAACATCTAATACTTGTGACCTAGGCCAGTGTTTCTACAGGAGAGTATCTTCTATAACACCTAATACTTGTGACCTAGGCCAGTGCTTCTATAGGAGAGTATCTTCTATAACATCTAATACTTGTGACCTAGACCAGTGTTTCTATAGGAGAGTATCTTCTATAACACCTAATACTTGTGACCTAGACCAGTGTTTCTATAGGAGAGTATCTTCTATAACATCTAATACTTGTGACCTAGGCTAGTGTTTCTATAGGGGAGTATCTTCTATAACATCTAATACTTGTGACCTAGACCAGTGTTTCTACAGGAGAGTATCTTCTATAACATCTAATACTTGTGACCTAGGCCAGTGTTTCTATAGGAGAGTATCTTCTATAACATCTAATACTTGTGACCTAGGCCAGTGTTTCTATAGGAGAGTATCTTCTATAACACCTAATACTTTTGACCTAGACCAGTGTTTCTACAGGAGAGTATCTTCTATAACACCTAATACTTGTGACCTAGGCCAGTGTTTCTAGAGGAGAGTATCTTCTATAACATCTAATACTTGTGACCTAGACCAGTGTTTCTAGAGGAGAGTATCTTCTATAACATCTAATACTTGTGACCTAGGCCAGTGTTTCTAGAGGAGAGTATCTTCTATAACATCTAATACTTGTGACCTAGGCCAGTGTTTCTATAGGAGAGTATCTTCTATAACATCTAATACTTGTGACCTAGGCCAGTGTTTCTACAGGAGAGTATCTTCTATAACATCTAATACTTGTGACCTAGGCCAGTGTTTCTATAGGAGAGTATCTTCTATAACATCTAATACTTGTGACCTAGGCCAGTGTTTCTAGAGGAGAGTATCTTCTATAACATCTAATACTTGTGACCTAGACCAGTGTTTCTAGAGGAGAGTATCTTCTATAACACCTAATACTTGTGACCTAGGCCAGTGTTTCTAGAGGAGAGTATCTTCTATAACATCTAATACTTGTGACCTAGGCCAGTGTTTCTACAGGAGAGTATCTTCTATAACACCTAATACTTGTGACCTAGGCCAGTGTTTCTAGAGGAGAGTATCTTGTGACGTAGGCCAGTGTTTCTACAGGAGAGTATCTTCTATAACACCTAATACTTGTGACCTAGGCCAGTGTTTCTAGAGGAGAGTATCTTCTATAACATCTAATACTTGTGACCTAGACCAGTGTTTCTACAGGAGAGTATCTTCTATAACACCTAATACTTGTGACCTAGGCCAGTGTTTCTACAGGAGAGTATCTTCTATAACACCTAATACTTGTGACCTAGGCCAGTGTTTCTACAGGAGAGTATCTCTTATAAAACCTTATGCTATTTAATATTTAAATTCTGTTTTTGTTGTTGTAGAAATTGGTGAAATTCCGGAGAATATCAAGTTTTGTAAGAATTTACAAGTTTTAGATTTTAGCAGCAATCCGTTAACTCGACTTCCAGAGGGTCTAACACAACTACGCAACTTGACTCATTTAGGACTCAATGATGTTTCTTTAACCAGACTGCCCTATGATATCTCAAGGTTAGTTCTATATTTATTAATGTTAAAACGGTTTGGGTTTTTTTCTAATGGCACTGTCACACTGGAAAGGCTTTCTTACTGCACTACTGCTGCGACAGTCGACGGAAGATTGGATCAGGTCAATATAATGGTGGTATAAGAGTGTAGGACACACCAGACTATTCACCAAGTCACAGAGTTTGTTTCAAAACCAAGATGCTGCAATCTGTTCTGAATTGTGTTGAGAACACCGTATGATTGTGAATCTTGTTAGACAAGGATTGTAAAATCACCTTGAGCTTTAAAATAGTCCAAGACACTGCTCAAACTGTTTCTAAATTTGTGATTATTTATGGGGCTTTTACTCTGGTTTCCTCACGTTTGACCGTGACCTAGTACATTACATGTTACTGTAAGATTGTAAATGGTCACATTCTGGTGTGACAGGACTATTATACAACCGGGTAATTTTCCTCAATAACCTTTTGTTACCCGGTTAGTTACTTAATGACCATGAAAATTTTGAACTAGCCAAACTGAAAGTAGATCACTACATTTTATCAACATTCGCTTGACTGTCACTGCACACAAGACAACTATTTTTACAATTATCCTTCTGCATGAAATTCTCTCATTTCACAAAATCTGTAAGAAAATTTCAGACATCAAATTCCAAATTTAGACCAAAAATTGTAAAAACCCCAAAAGGGCACAGACAACAAGCATATACAATCATTAACATTATTAAAATATCAGAATTCTTCTCTAATCACTCAGATCTAATGTATAATATTGTTATTACAGTTTAACCAGTCTGATATCACTCAGATCTAATGTATAATATTGTTATTACAGTTTAACCAGTCTGATATCACTCAGATCTAATGTATAATATTGTTATTACAGTTTAACCAGTCTGATATCACTCAGATCTAATGTATAATATTGTTATTACAGTTTAACCAGTCTGATATCACTCAGATCTAATGTATAATATTGTTATTACAGTTTAACCAGTCTGATATCACTCAGATCTAATGTATAATATTGTTATTACAGTTTAACCAGTCTGATATCACTCAGATCTAATGTATAATATTGTTATTACAGTTTAACCAGTCTGATATCACTCAGATCTAATGTATAATATTGTTATTACAGTTTAACCAGTCTGATATCACTCAGATCTAATGTATAATATTGTTATTACAGTTTAACCAGTCTGATATCACTCAGATCTAATGTATAATATTGTTATTACAGTTTAACCAGTCTGATATCACTCAGATCTAATGTATAATATTGTTATTACAGTTTAACCAGTCTGATATCACTAGAGTTAAGAGAAAATGAGTTAAAGTCTCTACCCCAATCCATTTCGAGTTTACTCAAACTACGTATTTTAGATTTGGGCAGTAATCAGATAGAGGAACTGGTAAGATAATTATAATTTTACACTTTTATTACAGTCCTACATCAGTCTTATTAATTAAAATTAGACTTTCCTTCTCTTTTTATTAGTTTATATTTTTATCATAGCCACTTCAGTTGAGGTCTAACGACAGACCTCTTGAACGTTCATCAAATTAACCTTTTGACCTAACATGATAAACACCACGTCACAAAATGCCAGCGCTGGAGAGGGAAGAAGTGTCTAATGATTCTCAGAATATGCTTTTTTTCGTGTCACAAAATCTCAGCGTTGGAGAGAGCAGGAATTTGATTGGCTGGCGGTATCAACAAACTGACGAATGTTCAAGAGGGCTGTCCTAAGACCCTAACTGAAGCGAATATATTAAAAATAAAAGCTAATAAAAAACAGAATGAATGTGTCATAGATAAATTTTTCTTCCTTCTTAGAGTAGCCACTTACCCTCTTATGCTAGTTTGGATCTAGAATTACCCCCACCCCCCACCCCACTGTATTTGGTGCATATAGTTTGCATAGAAAACATTTCATATTGGGTTGTCACTGTTTGATCACTCTCTTAAGAACAAACCCACATAGATACAATACAATGTTCATTTAAATCTAGGCTAATTATTAGATAGCCTCTATCATCCAGTCCATCTTTGTCTACATACAGCTTTGATGAAAGATAGCCTGGACTTGTTGTTTAATATCTCTGTAATTAACCTACAGTGGCTAATGAATCTGGTTGTAAACCCATATCCGTTTTGGTGATGGGAAATATTAACAATATCTTCGAATTTTGATTCTTTGCTGGAAAAATGGATAAATATAACATCCACAGATAAAAATATCAAATATAAACTCCCAAAACTTGAAAGAGTTGCCAATTTTTTTCGGTTGTAAACAAGTTGTTGGGGACTTGTAGATGGAATATGTTTAATTGTAGTTATCTCCCCTGACAGCATTGTAACAGAAAATTGAATGAAAACTTCCAGACTATATCTTTGTGGTTGACAGGTATTGTCTGGGTGTCAGAGGCTATCTCATTATTTTTTATTTAAAATGTTATTTATTGAGAATTCTTTTTTTTATTTCAGCCTTCGTCAATCGGAAATTTGCCAAATTTAGAAGAATTATGGTTGGATTCGAATCATTTAACAGAATTACCGACTGTAAGTATAAACTATTTCATTTATAACCTCTTATGAAATGTTTGATAACATGACTAATTGTCAAGGGCCTTATGTGACAAGGCAGGACGTAATTAAACACTTAGTTTTAGTAGAATTACAGGAACCACAGACGTCTGATGTAAATTGATGCTATCAATGTCCCTGATACACATAAAAAATTTCAGAAAACCTCTTTTTACTTATAAAAGAATTTCTTGTTATTTCAGGAGATTGGTAATTTAAAGAGGTTAACTCAGTTAGATGTGAGTGAGAATTTGTTAGATAAATTACCAGAAGAAACTGCAGGTCTAACCAACCTAACAGACCTGTCTCTGTCTCAGAATAATCTAGAATGTTTACCAGATGGAATTGGTAAGTCTGCTGTGGGTTCAAAATTAGCTGGCAGTCGTTGTTGCCTGGTGTAGAGTCAGAAAATCTAGGCCCTGTTTTATGGGGATTTTTTTCGCATCTCCGAATTCATTATCTAATGTTTCTCGGAATACACCTTTTGATTGCATCACAAAATCGTAGAGTTGGAGAGAGCAGGAATTTGATTGGCTGGCAGTTTCATCAAACTGATGAATGTTCAAGAAGGCCGTCTTTAGACCCTAACTGAAGTGACTATATTGAAAATAAAAGCTAATGCAAAAAACGGAAAGAAAACGAAACTAAGTGTTTGATGACATCACTAAACGCGAGGTGCGATAGAACATAATATGTGATTACCGACTTCATCAAACACTTAGTTTTAGTAGAATTACAGAAACCACAGACATCTGATGTAAAATTAGAATGATGTAAATTGATGTTATCAGTGTCTCAGATATACATAATAAATTTAGAAAACCTTTTTAAAATCACTTTAAAGGTTGTTTTTTTTTTTGTGTATTTGCAGGTTTTTTGAGAAAGTTATTGATTTTAAAAGTAGACCAGAATCAGCTGACTGTTTTAACGCCTCATGTTGGAAGTTGTGAGAATTTACAGGAACTTATTTTAACAGAGAATTTCTTAACAGATCTTCCTACTACTGTCGGCAAATTAAAAAGTTTAACGAATTTAAATATGGATAGAAACAGAATAACAGAAATTCCACCCGAGGTAAAACAACATTATTCATCCTTACATAGTCTTCTTTTACATTAACAATTGCTTGTAAACACTCTTAAACAGTTTTCATCTATAGCAAGATTTGTGCCTTCTAGAGTGTTTACGAGCAATTTAGTTTGTTGTATTTTTTTTGTTGGTCTCAATTATAATCTAACAAGATTTATACCAAGGTTGTGTACTGGTGATGTTTTTAGCAGACAATCACACTAGGTGTATTGTTGTTTCAGATTGGTAAATGTAATAAACAAGGTGTATTGTTTGGTAAATGTAATAAACTAGGTGTATTATTGTTTCAGATTGGTAAATGTAATAAATTAGGTGTATTGTTTGGTAAATGTAATAAACTATGTGTATTGTTGTTTCAGATTGGTAAATGTAATAAACTAGGTGTATTATTGATTGGTAAATGTAATAAACTAGGTGTATTGTTGTTTCAGATTGGTAAATGTAATAAACTAGGTGTATTGTTTGGTAAATGTAATAAACTAAGTGTATTGTTGTTTCAGATTGGTAAATGTAATAAACTAGGTGTATTGTTTGGTAAATGTAATAAACTAGGTGTATTGTTTGGTAAATGTAATAAACTAGGTGTATTGTTGTTTCAGATTGGTAAATGTAATAAACTAGGTGTATTATTGTTTCAGATTGGTAAATGTAATAAACTAGGTGTATTGTTGTTTCAGATTGGTAAATGTAATAAACTAGGTGTATTATTGATTGGTAAATGTAATAAACTAGGTGTATTGTTGTTTCAGATTGGTAAATGTAATAAACTAGGTGTATTATTGATTGGTAAATGTAATAAACTAGGTGTATTATTGATTGGTAAATGTAATAAACTAGGTGTATTGTTGTTTCAGATTGGTAAATGTAATAAACTAGGTGTATTATCTATGAGAGATAATAAACTACTAAGATTACCACAAGAACTAGGCAACCTTCACAAGTTACATGTTTTAGATGTGTCTGGTAATAGGTAAGTTTTAATAACATCTTATTTATAGGGTTCTATAGCACAGTCGGTTAGTACTACTAACCTTATTTCTTTACTGTACGTCATTTACTTGGTTACATAGAGTGAATGGTGGCTGTGGGTTCTAATCTCGATCAGTGTTTGAAAGTCAGATGACCTTGAATAAGTCATCTTTACTCATAATTCCAGTCAACCCAGCTGTAAATGGGTATGGATAATCCGGGAAAGATCAATGCCAAGAGGTTTGACCAAGGACCAGCTGGTAGAAAGGATCCTTAATTTTTTTTCTGTTGGGGATCAAAATGACGGATGATGGCATGTTGAAGTTAAGAGCACAGTGTTTTCCTGACATCAGCTCGGTAACAAGTGATTTGATTAAGGTGGTCACCTGTAAATAAAGAGAATTCATTGTGTGATTACAGATTAGAGTACCTACCTATAACTATAGCCAATCTAAACCTATCAGCATTATGGTTATCAGAGAATCAAGCTCAGTCTATGTTAAAATATCAGACAGATTTTGATGAACGAACTGGACAGAAAGTTCTCACTTGTTTCTTGTTGCCTCAACAAGGTTTTCATACAGAAAGCATGGGTAAGTTACCACTCTTTCATTAACGAGAAAAACATGTCAAATTTATAATCTAACTTGAAGGGAACAAAATAATCAGTCAAGTTCAAAATTTTCATTCTGTCTAACTTTTATTCATTCTGTCTAACTTTTATTCATTCTGTCTAACTTTTATTCATTCTGTCTAACTTTTATTCATTCTGTCTAACTTTCATTCATTCAGTCTAACTTTTATTCATTCAGTCTAACTTTTATTCATTCAGTCTAACTTTTATTCATTCTGTCTAACTTTCATTCATTCTAACTGTGATTGGTTCATCTTTTCACTGTATTAGGTGGTTATGTTACAGAGAATTTATTACGAGGAAGTGTAACAACAGATGTGTCCAGTCAGAAAAGTTGGACAGATAGAATTGACCGGCCTAGAGACAGTGTGATACGATTCCTGGAAGACCATGAGGTCAATTCTGATGAAGATTCTGATGTGAGTTCATGTTTATTTTATCATCTACGTATAAAATTATATATTCATCTAGGGGAGCCACGGTGGCTCAGTGAGTTAGACGCTTGCTCGCTAACCTGAAGGGCCAGGGTTCTATCCCGACATAGGTCGAGATAATACCTTCAGATTTTTTTTAACTCAGTTTCCCCCTGTGAATGATGCAGATAAGAGGGGCTGACATGAAAAAAGCGTCTAATCATTCGGATGGGACAATAAACCAGGGCCATGTGTGCTACAGACTGTACATGTTAAAGATCCCTCGACAGTTGGAAATCGAAAAAGAGGCCTAATGCAGCGCATGATTCTGGCCCAGTGTAAAGAAGTACAGACCAAGCACAGTTCACTTTAAGGGGGTTTTATGGCAGTCTTAACTCGGCTTATGTTTCTGTTGCATCTAAAAAGGAGTTATACCATGGTATATTTATTTCAACCAATCACAGCGTGTCGTACAGAATCTGTGTCTAAATATCAACTATGAATTGTGGGATTGCGAAACCTAAAGTAGAGTGATATGACCAATGAGATTATGAAACTGTTGATACTCACTTGTAACAGTGATTCTGATTGGTTGGAGAGTGGTGTATGATTGTCTGCTATAAATAGCTAGAAACATCATCAGTACACAACCTTGGTATAAATCTTGTTAGATTACAATGTAGACAGACAGAAAATAATGAAACAGAATTGTTATATGATTGTAATTAAATCAAGAACTCTGATGATTCAATACAAGTCAAGGTGAATATTTGTTATTTTAGAGTCATTTTGTACGTCATGGAACTCCTCATCCTAGAGAGTTGAAGGCACGACATGGTAAATATTTAAAACAGAAGGGAATAGATGGTCACGTGATACCACATCAAGATCGTAAACCTGGGGTAAGTTACTTGAAACAATTTTTAATACTTTAAACCCATGCCTCTATTCCAGTCTGTAATAGATATTTTAACATATATTGACAGGAATAGAGTCAGAAAAACTAGGCCCTATTATATGGGGATTTTCTACACCTCCGACGACTTTTTTCTCATATAATATTAAATTACCTTTACGATGACTGTAAATTAGTTTTGTTAGTATAACGTGAATCTGTGACCCTTGTACTTTTGACTGCGTGTTAGTTATAAATGACTGATGACATTAAAAAAACTTTGAATTGTGTAGGACTGAACTACATTAATACAAAAATATTCATCTTTCCAAATATATTTGGGTTTGGAGTATTTGGTTTGAATAAATAGATTTATAACTCCCACACCATCTGACAACTTTCAAATTATCTCTCAGAATCTGGTATCTAGAGGCAGATGTTTGGGTCTAACCATCAACCATCTATATTCCTTCAGCACCATCAAATTAATCAGTAGCTCTGACATTATTTTACCATTCTGATATTTCAGGATCAAGTTTTTCACCCGGCGAGAGATCATGATCCTAATATTGAGAGAGAACTAGAAGATGAAGAGAGACGTCAAGCCGAGAAAGAAAAACTGGCTAGTGATAAAAAGGTCACTATGACCATACAGGCCCCACAAATTATTAAAGGTAAGAATCACTTTAAAGATTGTAAACAAGTTTTCTAAATTCATTATATGTATCAGGGACACTGATAGCATCAATTTACATCATTCAGACGTCTGTGGTTCCTGCAATTCTACTAAAACTAAGTGTTTAATGACGTCACTAAATCACGAAGGGCTGTATGTAAAATGATCTGTCCCTATTAAAGATTATATATGAATGTTTGATATTGATATTCCAGCACCAGAACTTCAAGGTCCCCCACCCCCTTCAGCTCAATCTGAATCATCATCAGAGGGAGAAGATCTTCCTAAAGAGAGTGAACCCTTGATAAGACCAGGTACAGTCACAATAACATCAGCTGGTAAAATAATGCCGAGAGATGATGGACTGGCTGATACGTCGATGGAGAGTGATAGATTACGAGAGGAAGTGATGACAGATGAAGCAGGAAGTAGTGAGAGTGAGAGTGATTCTGGTAGTGAAGCCAGTACAGACGAACCGGTAAGTCATATCTAAAATCTAGACCACAATGATAGAAAATAAAGCTTATTAACACGTCGGCCATATTGAATCCAGAACGAGGCTCATAACGCAAACAAAGGTAACATGGTATCACTGTATAAAATGGCCACCTGAGTCTGTACATGATTCAGATGGCAATCATAAAAATTTCCCTCATTTCACAATGCGTGGCATTGCCGATATCATTTACACAAACTTGAGTAAAGAAGTTATTTAGACAAGAGTTTTGTTTGATAGAATTGTCATCACTGTATGAATTCTTATTTGATTATTGGAAAATGAAATTCGATATGTGTATACATATTCATAAAACGAAGATCAAGTTGGAATTTGAGCTATTTTCGACTGTTAGAAGCAGAGTTATTGTCCTTGCCCCAAAATCTTGAATATTTACTATCCGCATGTCATGGTAGGCGTATATGACTGTGGTCCACTATTTTAAACTTGTATTATCTATGTTTAGAAAAAGAAAAGAGAGAAGAAAAGTAATAAAGCAGTAGGATTTACAGCCGAACTTGATGAAGAACCAGACAAAGAACAACGATTAAGACGTAGAGATACACCTCACTATCTGAAAAATAAACGTGTGAACCTGAACGCTAGTAAAGAAGATGCTGAAATGAAAGTACGAGAGATTCTAGCCCAGGCTGCAGCCAGTAAAGACACAGCTGCCATATCTTCTGTTTTACAGGTACGATAAGATCTGATGTAATCTTCAGTCTAGAGTTAAAGTGATTGTAAAAAGGTTTTTTGAATGTTTTATGTGTATCACGGACACTGATAGCATCAATTTGAACCATACCAATTTTGTTGTCTGTGATTCCTGCAATTCTACTAAAACTAAGTGTTTGATGACGTCACTAATAGTGAAGGCCTTATATGAAAGAAGGTTCTTTCGCGATGAGACAAACCCTTATTATTATTAGTAGAATTTCAAGAACCACAGACGTCTGATGTAAAATTAGAATGATGTAAATTGATGCTATCAGTGTCAGAAAACCTCTTTACAATCTCTTTAACAAGAACCACAGACGTCTGATGTAAAATTAGAATGATATAAATTGATGCTATCAGTGTCAGAAAATCTCTTTACAATGTCTTTAACAAGAACCACAGACGTCTGATGTAAAATTAGAATGATGTAAATTGATACTATCAGTGTCCCCAATACACTTAAATACCTTTGAAAATCTCTTTACAATCTCTTTAATGATTTGATGTGATCTCAACTATAAGAGTTTTACATGAGGCAGAAATTTTGAGTTCAATATTTCCTGAAAGCTTTTTCATGGTTTTACATCTTCTGTAGGCTCTATAGCTCAGTCGGGTTTGTTCTTCATGACATCATTTGCTTGGTTACGTAGAGTGAATGATGACTGTGGGTTCTAATCTCGATCAGTGTGTGAAAGTCAGATGACCTTGAATAAGTCATCTTCAATCATAAATCCAGTGGACCTAGCTGTAAATGGGTACAGATAATCAGAGAAAGATCAATACCAAGAGGTTTGGTCAAGGACCAACTGGTAGAAAGGATCCTTAATTGTAAACTACAGTTGTTTCTTTGTTTCTGTAGCCACCTGAAGATGATAAAATAACAGTGATGTCAACAACACAGCATGTACCAGTTAGAATACAAGAAGAAGAAATGAGAATGAGAATTATACGTCAGCATGGACAAGGTTTAGGAATCAGTATTGCAGGAGGAAAGAATTCTTCTCCTTATAAAGGAGATGATGAGGTTAGAACAGTTTTTATTATTCTCATTTCTATCACACAACAGTTCTGTTCTCTAGTTCATAACACAGGTACATAAAAACAATATTTTTCAAGACAGGCTTCTGTACTTTATTGATAGTTCCAAGATTAGCATAATGAGCCACGCCCCTATAGTAATGATTGACTATCTATTGATACCTGGATTAAATGTTGATATTTCAGAGTGTGTTTAACATAATAAGCCACACCCCCTATAGTAATGATTGACAGGTATTGAAACATGTATTTAATGTTGATATTTCAGAGCGTGTTTATTTCCCGAGTAACTGAAGATGGTCCAGCTGGTCAAGTTGGTATCATGAAGGGAGACAAACTATTATCTGTGAGTTTCTCTTTTTCTTAAAGCAAGGGCAATAACTCAAATCATTACTAGTTTCAAACGTAGAGATCTCATCCATTATACTCATCTTTACCAAGTTGCCAGTATTTTTTGAAATTTTTAACATATCAGAATTGTAAAGAGGTTTTCTACATTTTTTATGTATATCAGAGACACTGATAGAATCAATTTACACCATTCTAATTTACAATCAGATATGTTTTTGCAATTCCTCTAAAACTAAGTGTTTGATGACGTCACTAATCATAAAATATGCTAGCATCTCAAAAGGCCTTTCGCGATTAGTGAACATTTCGTTTTACTAGAATTAGATTAACTACTAGATTATTGTGAGTATCTTGGAATGGTATGATAAATTAAATCAAATTTTATAATCTAAATTAAAGCCTATTTGGAAGTCACTGTAAGAATTGTGTCTTTAGACCCTGACTGAAGTGGATATATTAAGAATAAAAGATAGTTTGGTCAAACCTCTATTTTAATATTTTCTATGTGTGTTTTGAAGGTAAATGGTATTAGTTTGTTAGGAGTAGATCATTATGAGGCTGTGAACGCTCTAAAGAATTGTGGAAATGATATTATAATGGTTGTGAGTCGGGAGGTGGTGCTACCAGCTGAACAGGTTGAAGAAGAGCATACACACACCAGTATCGCGACTGTTTCATTTGAAGCTGACCCTGATACACAGTTTCTAGGCCAGGTAATTATTGTGATCAGTTCCCTCCCTTGACTATTGAAATGGGAGATAATTGTTTTTTCATCAGTTACTTCCCTTGAACCTCGTAAGTCCATCATCTATTTCTTTGAGATCAGTATGTTTACTCTTCTAGACACCTGATACCACTTTTCATTATAAAATATTTACTCATTTATAACTGATATACTTCCTCATATGAAAAGTTTATTAGCTGCCACCAATGTTTCGCCAATATGTTTTTTTTGATTTTGGGTCTTGTTTTGAGTTTTAGATTGTTAATACTTGATTTATTTATTACAGACTTTAACAGAAGTAGTTGAAAGAGAGAATGGTGGTTTGGGTTTGAGATTGTTAATATTTAGTTTATTTATTACAGACTTTAACAGAAGTAGTTGAAAGAGAGAATGGTGGTTTGGGTTTTAGATTGTTGATATTTAGTTTATTTATTACAGACTTTAACAGAAGTAGTTGAAAGAGAGAATGGTGGTTTGGGTTTTAGATTGTTAATATTTAGTTTATTTATTACAGACTTTAACAGAAGTAGTTGAAAGAGAGAATGGTGGTTTGGGTTTTAGATTGTTAATATTTAGTTTATTTATTACAGACTTTAACAGAAGTAGTTGAAAGAGAGAATGGTGGTTTGGGTTTTAGATTGTTAATATTTAGTTTATTTATTACAGACTTTAACAGAAGTAGTTGAAAGAGAGAATGGTGGTTTGAGTTTTAAATTGTTAATATTTAGTTTATTTATTACAGACTTTAACAGAAGTAGTTGAAAGAGAGAATGGTGGTTTGGGTTTTAGTATAGCTGGAGGTCGAGGAGCTACCCCTTTTAAAGGCAATGATAACGTGAGTCTATCTTTATTTTAAAGTTATTATCAATTCTTACAGTAGACTCTTATGGCTACAAGTTAATATCATGATAATATATCACGATATGGATATATATATCACGATAGGGTTATATATATCACGATATGGGTATATTTATCACGATATGGGTATATATTGCGATATTGACATATATCACGATATGGTTATATATCACTATATTGGTATATATCACGATATGAGTGTATATCACGATATGGGTGTATAAGGTATGGGTGTATATCACGATATGGGTGTATATCACGATATGAGTGTATATCACGATATGGGTGTATAAGGTATGGGTGTATATCACGATATGGGTGTATATCACGATATGGGTATATATCAAGATAAGGGTATATATTGCGATATTGACATATATCACTATATGGTAATATCACTATATGGTATATATCAAGATATGGGTCTTTATCACGATATGGGTCTTTATCACGATATGGGTATATATCAAGATACGGGTATATATATCACTATATGGGTATATATATCACTATATGGGTATATTTATCGCGATCTTTGTAAATATCAAGATATGGGTATTTATCACGATATGGGTATATATCAAGATATGGGTATATATCAAGATATGGGTATATATCGCGATCTGCGTAAATATAGCGATCTGGGTAAATGTCAAGATATGGGTCTTTATCAAGATATGGGTCTTTATCACGATATGGGTATATATCATGATATTTGATACAAAATGTTGTTGTTTCTATCTAGAAATTTTAAATATAAGAAAAAAAACGATACATCTTTCTTAAAAACAAATCAATCATTAAAGATGGGTTTCCCTATTTTTTAGTTTCAAATGAAGCAAACTATTTGATAATTTGTGATTCTAATGAATTATCATATATTCTTAATCATATCATTATGTTCTTATTGCATATAATCAAGCATTTTCCATTTCATTAATTAAAATAAGGGAACCCATCTTTAACATCATGAAAAAACATCTGTTTTAAATATCAAGTTACATGTTAAAATTATGTAGATGATCTTACCTGGACTAAGATAGGATGATGTATCATGATAACTACCATATATCACGCTATCAGGCAATATTATTAACCATATAAATTGCTATACTGGTATTTATCACCCAACCCTATTTCCTGGTTTTACAAACAACTGACTGGTTTCAGAACCCCCTGTTGAAACCATTATTTGTGGTAGTGGCATGTGGTAAAAGAACAGAGTACTCGGTCCTATCATGCAATCTAATTAAAATAGAATACAATTTCGTTTCGTTCTTTGTTTCCATTGTGATCTAACAAGTTTTATACCAAGGTTGTGTACTGTTTACGTTCATTTCAACCAATCAAAGCATGATATGCATAATGTTTTACTTTTGGTTTGGCTATCTCACAATTCATAGTTAATATTTAGACAATCTGCATGACACACTGTGATTGGTTGAAATGAACGTCACCAGTACACAACCTTGATATAAATCTCGTTAGATCACAATGGAGAAAGAAAACTATCAGATAAAAAAGAAACGGAATTATATTCTAAGTATATTAAGACTGTCCTATCCTGTTATATGTTGTTTGGTGAAATTTGTCTGGCTTTTTGTATCAGATATTTTAATTTGATGCTGCTTTAACTGGTGATTATTATTATTATTATTATTATTTCTGTTAATTTTCACTGATCCTCTCTGAAATGACGAAACGGAAATTTTTTTGTTTAGAAATATCTCCAGAATTCGCTTGTATCAAACTGTACTCTTCAAATTTATTCCTTAAAAAAAACAATAAAAACTGGCTTGTGTTTAAAATATTGATATGGATAATCTAGATATTCAGATTTTCAGGTATTCAGATATTCAGATATACAGTTTTAATTTACAAACTCCCTAACTTTCACAGTAATAGTTTTATTTTAGTTTGTATTATAAATCAGTTTAGGTTACTATCAAATATTACAAAGAGTTTAAGAATCAAGCTAGTTTTATTTACTAGTTTTATTTTGACTGGCAGTGTATTCTTGAAACCATCTTAACTCTAGGATGTACTAGAAACAGTTCTACAAGTTAAGATCTTATCCTATACTATTCTCAATAGAGATACTTAGCAAAGAAATCTGGGACAGGTAAGTGAGGTGTCCTGACTTTAAACAATAGTTTTATATTAAATACGAACAACAATTGGATTTATATTGAGGTTCTATAATGTTCTCAGAGTTAGATTTCTATATAAAATATCAAAAATAGACAATAAAACAAAATAATTAACACAGTGTTTTCAATTTTATTCATGTCGTTGTTAACCCCATGAGAGAACGTTATTCGTGTTGAATATAATCAATGAATTTATTTCTTCTCCTTCGCTCTAATTTCTTCTCAAAGCGTTTTGAAAAAAAATTCATTTTGAATGTCAAGAATGTTTTTTAGTGACTTATATAGGGTTATGTAGTGCCTGTCCTAAGTTAAGATAGAATCGTGAAGTTAAGATACCTGTAGGACAGTTTTGAGTATAGGAAGAATCTCAAATGTCTTAATATCTGTCCTAGGATTGGTCCTAGTTAAGATCGTTTCGAGAATACTCAGTTTGGAGATGAGTCCAAAAGAATATTAAGATGAGAAATTGAAGTTGAGTTTTTTATTTTCATTTTGTTTCAGTTTGTGACTTTGTTGGAGGTTTGTATTTATATTATAATAACATTCTAGATTCATAAAACATCCAATATTTATCCTGGTGTATAGCCAGATTTCAATCAGAGACCCCCTCCCTCACCCCGCAGTCAGTTAGTAAATTACAATCAACATTAATTATACCTGAAAATATTTATATCTATATATCTACTTGATCAAACTGAATTGGTTTTAAAAGAGTTCATTAAAACAGAGAGTACTAATTGTTAATTAAGCAGTGTTTGACTTTATAATGGCTGGTTATATTTAGTTAAAATCTTTAGAATACGTAGGAGACATATTTCTCTACAATTAGGCGTTTATTTTACTTAAATCCATACAGCTTTCAAAAAACATAAAGTCAGAATTTATAAGACAAATATTTTCACGTGGGATGAATTGGATGTTTTATAATTAAAATGTTAATATTGGTACAGCCAGACTTGTAATAAGTAGTTATTAAAGAGATTGTAATGAGATTTTCTAAATTGTTTATGTATATCAGAGACACTGATAGTATCAATTTACATCATTCTAATTTTACATCAGACGTCTGTGGTTCCTGTAATTCTACTAAAACAAAGTGTTTGATGACGTCACTAATCACGAAAGGCCTTATTTGATAAAGTGTATTTTGCAATTAGTGACGTTTGAGGAATTGCAGGAACCACAGACATCTGATTGAAAATTAGAATGGTGTAAATTGATGCTATCAATGTCCCCGATAAACAACAAATTTAGAAAACCTTTTTACAATCTCTTTAACTGCAGGTAACTGTGTCTACAAGTTTGGTTGTTATTTGACTGTTAGATATTTTGATAAAGTGTGTTCATGTTGGAGTGTGTATTTTTAATATAAAATTAATAAATATCAGAATGTCATTATACAATTTATTATTATTATTATTATTATTTACTGGTTTTATCAGATTTAAAGAGACAGTAGCACCATTTTTATTCTGAAGACATTTTACATATCTTCAAGACCCAAAATGGCGCATCTGTCCCTTTAATATTAGTTTTTGTTATGAAATGAGAGATAGAAACTGGGTCGCATGTTTGTGAATTTTGTGCATTTATGTTGAATGTCAATCTCTTTAAAATTAAATTACATTTCAACCAATCACAGCGTGTCATTTAAACCTGTTTCTTGATAAAGTAAGGAATTGTGGGATATCGAAACCTGAAGTAGAGCAATATGACAACCTCTTTAGGTTTCGCTATCCCACAATTCCTTATTACATCAAGATTCGGGTTCAGATGAAACGCTTTGATTTGTTTAAAATACTACAATCATGCAAAATGAATCTAATTGATTCATCATCTTCATCATCATCATCTGATGACGCTCTGTTGTGGAAGTGTGGGCACATGTGAAATTATACTCAAGATTCAAGTCTGCGACAAAAATCAGCAACCAAGACTGCTCGTGTTTCACCAACATTAGATTATAATGGAGATTAAAAATATCAAAATAAAAAGATAGGAAATTGTAATTTAATTTTAATAAGATTGGTTGAATGTGAACCTGTGATATGATTGTTGTAAAGGTTATTGATATTATTAAAACGTTTGTAAAGAGATTTTCTATAATTTATATATGTATTATGGACACTGATAACATCAATTTACATCATTCTAATTTTCAATCAGACATCTGATAATGCATGTTTTCATGTGGGCGCATAAAAAAAGGTTTTCTAAATTGTACCATTCCAATTTTCAATCAGACGTCTGTGGTTCCTGCAAAAACTAAGTATTTGATTACAGAATTTATCACAAAACATGCTTGTAAAGGCCCTTCGCGATTAGTGACATCAACAAACACTTGGTTTAAGTAAATTGCAGGAATCACAGACATATGATTAAAAATTGTAATGTTGTAAATTGATGCTATCAATGTCTCTGAATTATTCATTACAAACATCAATTAATCAAACAATAAGCTTGATTTGACCAAGAAAAATAAACAAACCTATGTTTAAAACCTGTTAAAATGTGTTTATTAACCTGTCAGTTCAGATTGAATGTAGAGTAAGATTTGGTAGTATTTTGATCTAAAACAGTTTGTAAATTATAATCTTACATTATGTATGCTTGTTGCTATGCTGCTATGCTGCTATGCTGCTATGTTGTATTTGCATGTATATATTAATGTATATAACAGGACCATTATTAAAGATGGGTTTCCTTATTTTATATGACGTCAAAAGTCATGAACTCAAGATAATTTTAGATACCTGTAGAAAACACGACAATTTGAAGTATTGAATGCTATTTACCTTCTCAAGAAGTCATATTCCCCGCATTAGACAGAGGTAACGAATACAACATCAGTGTTAACAACATCTCGTACTGTAGGAAAGATTAATATCAGAGATAACTGTTAAATATTATATTGTTATTACAGGCTATCTATGTATCTAGGATAACAGAGAATGGTGCTGCCCATCATCAAGGTAAACTATTGGTTGGTGATAGAATCATATCAGTAAGTTTTTCACTTTTTATACCTCTAATGTATTTTATCTTTGTCCTTCTCAATATGATTAAAATTACATGACAATTTCTTTTCATTATAATTTTTTGTTTGTCTTCATTGTGATCTAACAAGATTTATACCAAGGTTGTGTACTGTTGACGTTCATTTCAACCAATCACAGCGCGAATCTGTATCTAAATATTGACTATGAATTGTGGGATAGATAAACCTAAAGTAGAATGATATGACCAATGAGATTATGAAACTGTCGTTATTTGCATGTGAAAGTGATTCTGATTGGCTAGAGAGTGGATGACATATGACCAGGGATATAACTCTGTTTGAGTTGCCTATTGCACAATAAACCAGCGTTTTCCATTGGTCCATTATCATGGCTGTTTCACTGTATATATATATTATGATTTTATTATAATGTATCTGTTGTTTTTATTGTAGATTAATGGAGTAGATGTGACAGATGCTCGACATGATCAGGCTGTAGTTTTATTGTCTGGTTCCGAACCTAAGGTGGAATTAGTGGTCTATCGAGAGATGATGGTACCCAAGTCTGACACGGTACCGACAGACAGCAAGCTAACACCTACCACTGCTCATCCTAGAATAGATTGGAATAAAGTATCTCCAGGAAAAGACAGCTCTCTGATCACTGCCAGCCAATCACCAACTCTGTCTAGTCCTAACCAAAGTTTTGAATATGGTCAAAAGATGGCTTCACAAGTAGCTACTGAGCCTCGTGCCTACAGTCCAAAACCTGTCATTATTCAAGCCCCTACATTACAAGCTCCCCAAACAGTTACCATCACTGCTCCTTCTTTATCACCAAAAGTCAGTCCTAAAGCTCCTCTATCATCTGATTGGACCACACCGCCTACAGCAATTCAACCTCCGCGCTTTGTCTATCCAGGAAAATCACCAACTATCCAGGCACCGCCAGCAGTTACCATCAAATCACCAAATATTACCTTGGACAATAAAGAAAATATCTCGCCTAAATACACAGTGAATAATAATTCCTACAGTGTGTCCAATAAAAGTGACAGTGTTTCACGGACCGAGGCATCTAAAAGTGATTTTTTAAATAAGTTTAAAAGTGTTGAACACCATCATGTGGCGCCCCCTAGTGCTATTAATCAAACTTTAGTGTTGGATACTAGTGTAAATAGTAAAAATGATTTAAATCATACCACTGGGATATCACTGTCAACATCACCATCACCAACAACATCATTTTCTCCAACATCATCATATCCAACAGAGGTAAGATCAATTTACAATCAGACGTCTGTGCAAAGATATGATTTCATCTTTAAATTCGAAAAAAAAAATAAATAAAATCAGGCCGTTCAAAAAAAAAAATTTTTTTTAATGCTTTGCTCGAAAAATTAGCCTTCGGGGATGCGAGGGGGGGCGGCTGCCCCACCTGCCCCCCCTGTGGCTCTGCCACTAGATGTTAATTGATGCTATCAGTGTTTCTGATACACACAACAAATTTAGAATGATTTGTTGATTGATATTGTATGATTTGTTGATTGATACTGAATGATTTGTTGATTGATACTGAATGATTTGTTGATTGATACTGTATGATTTGTTGATTGATATTGTATGATTTGTTGATTGATACTGAATGATTTGTTGATTGATACTGAATGATTTGTTGATTGATACTGTATGATTTATTGATTGATACTGAATGATTTGTTGATTGATATTGTATGATTTGTTGATTGATACAGAATGATTTGTTGATTGACACTGTATGATTTGTTGATTGATACTGTATGATTTGTTGATTGATATTGAATGATTTGTTGATTGATACTGAATGATTTGTTGATTGATATTGTATGATTTGTTGATTGATACTGTATGATTTGTTGATTAATACTGTATGATTTGTTGATTGATATTGTATGATTTTTTTGATTGATATTGTATGATTTGTTGATTGATATTGTATGATTTGTTGATTGATATTGTATGATATGTTGATTGATACTGTATGATTTGTTGATTAATATTGAATGATTTGTTGATTAATACTGAATGATTTGTTGATTGATACTGTATGATTTGTTGATTGATAGTGTATGATTTGTTGATTGATATTGTATGATTTGTTGATTGATACTGAATGATTTGTTGATTGATACTGTATGATTTGTTGATTGATATTGAATGATTTGTTGATTGATATTGAATGATTTGTTGATTG